GAAATCGTACACTGGCACAACAAATATATTCCGCCCCGTGCATCCGCGATGTCAGACACCGAGAATGAAACTGTTGGTACAGAAAAAAATGAGGCGATTGAAAAAACCGAAATGGATGAAGCTGAATTACTGATCGCCGTTCGAAGGCCACGACGTTCACCCAGACTAATAAAACGCTACATTTTACAACCATGCTTTTTTCTGCAGGGGATATGAACGCACAAGTAGGGCGTCTGAGCTTTTCAGAAGCTCAGCTGGTAATTGTGGGCTTAAATCCGGACGGACTGATAACGGTGAGCGTCTACTGTAACTGTGTGCGGAGCGCCAGTTGTTTCTTACTAGCACTGATTTTACTCAGTGGGCTCCGAAGTGCCACTAGGCGTCTTCCTGTAGCTGGTCAGCGATGGACCCAAATTGACCACATAGCCATAAGTTACAGGTGGCGCGGTTCCATTCTGGATTGCCGCTCGTACTGGAGTACCTGTGTCGACTCTGACCATGACTTGGTGCGCTGTCGTTTCTCCATGAACTTTACTGGAAGGCGCACAAAACGTCTCCCCCGATTGGCAACGGAGAAATTGTCCCAGCCCTCGGTCAGGCAAGCCTATCAAGAAGCACTACATACCGAACTTCCGCTGTCTTGTCCTAATGACACTGAGCTTCAGTGGAATAGGATCACGGCCGCCATGCACAAAGCAGGAGCATCTGCTTGTGACATTATCCATCGTCACCGCACCAGTCACTGGATATCCGAGAGGTCCGTGAACCTGTTGGAATCTAGAAGACACCTCCCGGCTGGCACTGAACCCAATGTGACCGGACGGGCCATTAGGCGTGAACTAAAGTGAAGCCTAGTTGCTAACAAGGAAGCCTGGTGGGCCAGTCGGGCTCAAGAAATGGAGGAGACAAGAGCAGTGAGCAATTACCGGAAGCTCTTCCAGCTAATCCGCACCACTGGTCCCAGAAAACCAGGCGTCAGTGAGACAATCAGAGACAGCGCGGGTGCGCTGATACACAATAAGGCACGCCGTATGGCTCGTTGGGCGGAACACTTTCAAAATCAGTTTAGCTGGCCCCCTGCTCCTGGACCTCTTCCTACATCGGTGACGCAGGACGAGTCATGGAGGGTTAGTTTATAGCCTCCGTCGGAGGCCGAAGTCCGAAACGCGATCACAGCGCTCGATCGTTTTCGTGCTGCTGGCCCGGATTCGCTTCCACGTGCAATATTTAAGGATGGAGGTGAAGTCCTCTACAGGGCACTGACCTCCTTATTCGAACGTATCTGGTAGGAAGTATCCCGACTAATAGGAGCGAATCGATTATAGTGGCAGTATACAAGAAGAACAGTCGCACAGACTGTTCTAACCACATGGGTATTAGCCTAACGCCATTTGTGACAAAATTATTGGCCTCGATTATCGTTCGTCGCCTCACTGCAGAACGGGAATCTCGGATTAGGAAAGAGCAGGCTGGATTCCGCCCAGGACGTGGCTGTATAGACCATATATTCACTTTGCGGCAGACGCTAGAGCAGCGTCACGCATACCGCAGACCGACAATAGCTGTGTTCCTCGATTTCAAGAGTGCCCTCGATTCAGTTAATCGATCGATTCTGTTCGAAATACTTGCGCGGAAAGGTGTTCCCACGAAATATGTCAACATCCTTCGTGCTCTATACGCGAACACTACAGGCCGCGTCAGGGTCTACGTTGTCCTGTCGGATAGCTTTCCGACCACAAGTGGCGTTCGTCAGGGTTGTCCGATTTCCACGTTTTTGTTAAATTTCGTCGTGGATTCTATCATGGAGTGTTCCTAGGTGGAATCTCACGATGTAGGTTTGAAGTGCTGCCTGGTGAAAGATTAGTTGATCTAGATTATGCGAACGATATCGTCTTGCTTTTCGACGATGTTGGGGAGGCACGATCAACCCTGAATAGGCTGTCCAGTGTGGTCCCATTATTTGGTATGCACTTCGCACCTTCAAAGTGCAAAGTGTTGCTGCAGGACCACCAGCCACTTGATGACCCCTTGACGCTTGCTAACGAGGAACTTGGCAGCTGCATCAGCTACAATGATCGCATAGAAACTAACGTCAGCTCACGCATTGCAAAGCCTAGAGCTGCCTACTTGATCCTGCGGCATCTTTGGCGACAGAAGGGAATTTCCCTCCTTCTGAAAGGCCGTGTATACAAGGCCACAGTGAGGGCCGTTCTGCTGTATGAGAGTGAGACTTGGTCCCTTCGGTCTGAAAATCTGAGGCGCCTTCAAGTCTTTGATTTTCGTTGTCTGCGAAGCATTGCTGGAGTCGGATGGCATCAGCGTGTCCGCAACGATGATGCGCATAGGCGAGTACTAGGTAGTGATAACCATGCTAGCTCCAAGAACAACAGATAGCAGTGAATTAGTTGCATTGGCTCGGGCACGTACTACGTATGACTGCTCACCGCTTATCTAGGAGGGCCTTGTTTAGTCTGCCAGGTGTAGGGTGGCGCAAGACTCGAGGTGGACAGAAGTTGACTTGGCAGCGTTAAATGAGGCCACTTACGACCAAACTGGGTGCCGTTGGTCCGTCTCGCCTTGCGGGTTGGAGTCCACGTGACTCACCTTGTGCTTGGCTCGAGACTTTACAGGACATGGCTCGCAACCGACACCAGTGGCGTGTCTGCTGCCGTCTCCTAATAGGATTGCCTTTTTTAAAGAGCGTTTGGTGCTGAGTTATCTGCGGGATAATGGCTGATTATGACGCGTGGCATTGAAAGCCGCAAGGAAGCTGTTTCGCCGATGCTGCCTTATCTTTGCACGATAGCCAGTTGTTTGTGACAGGATGTTGTCTACACGAGGTGTAGGCGTCTTGACTCTGAATGTTTGCTCAGGGCATTAAGGTTTTCAGGTAAGTCTTCCTTCTCTCCCTCTTCTTATTCTATATTACATAGTTCTTCGTGATTATATGGCAACGGAGCATCAGTTCAAGTGGCTGATGTACTGATGCTGCTGCTGCTGCTGCTGCTGATGCTGATGATGATGATGATGATGACGATGATGAAGACGATGATGATGATGATGATGACGATGATGATGATGATGATGATGAGGAGGAGGAGGAGGAGGAGGAGGAGGATGGTGATGATGATGATGGTAATGATGATGATGATGATGATGATGAGGATGACGATGACGATGATGATGATAATGTTGATGATGATGATGCTGATGATGCTGATGTTGCTGCTGCTGCTGCTGATGATGATGATGTTGTTGTTGTTGATGATGATGATGCTGATGATGACGATGATGATGATGTTTATGCTGCTGCTGATGATGATGATGTTGATGATGATGCTGACGATGCTGATGTTGCTGATGATGATGTTGTTGTTGTTGATGATGATGCTGATGGCGCTAGTGGAATCTGTGTATACGCCAGGAGCATACAAACTAGCAGTTGGGAAGCCAGTTAGTGCGAGAGGTTTGCATACGGCATTTTCCCAAACTACTTCTCCACGAGCGACTACATCTACTGTAGAAACTTCCCGAACAACAGAAAGCCTAGGAGTGTCAAGCCGCATGCGTCGCCCTGTCGAGCTGTATGTTTTGATGGGCTAGACAAAGTGCTATCTGCTCCATGTGTATGTTCTTTAATACCTTAGGCAGGCAACCGCTTAAACGCTGACGCGAAGTGATTACGTAGTTCTAAACATAAGATGGAACAGTGTGGTGTTGCCATATTACTTCCTACTCTTGTTTCTAGCTATTGATAGGTCGTGAATCATATGCCCACTTAGCGGTCATTGGTCGAAGGTGTGCTTGCTGCCGATTGGCTTATGTGAATGATTTTTGAGTCATAACTGTTGGTTCGTATTGATTGCGTCCACACTTCCGTTCAGTCTACTGAGTTCCTGTTCTACTTTCGCTGACACAACAATAACCATGTTGAATTAATGAAGAGTATCCAGAGTTTTCTATCATTTCACGAATAGGGCTACTAGTTTGATGCAGCAGGACATTAGCAAACAAAGTCTCCACATTCAAACAAGACATGATTTTTCCTGACAGGTTAATTACACCAAAACTAGCAATATGTCTACACGGAGCTTTGCGCCAATACATATCAAATAAAAAAATAAAGATTGTATTCTCTAACTCATCGAGGTACACCGTATTGGGGATTATGCAAATTGTACAAACTATTATTCGCAACTGACACGTTGTGTTGCCCTCCATGGGATGATGGCTAAAAGGTATAGATGTTGCACAAATAAAAGAAGTGCTGGTGAGGAACAAAGTTGTTTGATGTGACGATAGTCTAATTTCATGTGTGTGTAGAGTCCATCTAAACAGTAATAAAGCATAAAGTGAAGTGCTGGAATGTGCAGATAAGGAATTGTCTCGTAGTGAGGCTGGCTTGTCGAACAACCTCCTCGTGATGCGAGCTGGGTTGTTCGGGATTTTCCCCATTTCAAGCAAATGATTCGACGGCAGTGTTCCAGTACGCATTGGATTTTCGCCTGGCAAACCTTCTCCCTATTAAAAGCCACATATGTGCCTTTAGCAATACTGCGACGTGGCGGATGTGACTCGCCACTAAATAAAAGAATTTCCCCTTGCTTTCCTCCAGTAGAGCATTGTATTCCAGCTGCCAGATGCTGTCATCGTGGGGAGGACTGGGCACATTTGTCTGTTTACAGACTTGTGAATATATATATATATATATATATATATATATATATATATATATATATATTGTAGTGAAGGTATCAGTTGGCTTGCTTTCTAAAAGGAGAGAGCACTTTTACAAACCAGTGAGCTATTTGATGAAGGAGCGCGTTTAGAATCAAGGTCATAAGCCCGGGCGGCACTGCGCTCTTTTGAATGTTTTGCTTACCCACAAAGCTGTTGTGTAAGTGAATAAATAAACATTTGTACTTTCCAACAATTGAGATACCAACATAACACCGCCGCCGATCACATCATGCTTAAGGAGCATTTCTACCAGATGAAGTCTCCTATTCTCTCATGCAGCCATCTCCGCCTACTCATACGGTTAACATTTATTGGGGTGGCATAGTAAGAAGCCTACCTTTTCGAGGTCTTCATCTCTGTCCACGACTGTCACACTGGAATACTTGCTCGGTTTCATAGTAACCATGTCTTTTGCAGTTGGTCAGCCATGGACTACCGTATGATTGTAGGTAAGTTCTCGTTTTGTTGTTGACAAACCTTATACCTCACAAGTAATCGCAACCCGACTGTCTATCTATATATGTCTGTCTTCTCAGCCCATAGCCTTAAGGCTCAGATGCTTGCCTTGTACTTCGAGGGCGCGGGTTCGAGCCAGCGTAGGGGACCGGACCACCCTCGCAGTATCCTTCGCCCACGCGTGCTGGTTGGTGGTTGCGCGACAGCGAAGAGTCGATACTGTGTACCGGCGTACTGCTGATAGCTGTTATATGTCCCTCATTGCCAGTTGTTTAAAATACATTCACCTGACTAAACAGATTCCCAAACTGAACTACAAAAATTGTCCATCTAATCACTTAGCAGGTACTCTGTAATCGGAATCGAATGACACTGCTTCCAATGGCGAGGTATCAATCCTCATCCTCCACCTCCTCCTCATCATCATCATCCTCATTCTCAACAACAGTACATGAGCCACTTGAACTGATGCTTCGCTGCCGTACAATCACGGTGACCTACGGAACGAAGCACAACAAGAGAAAGAGAAGGGGACCTAGAGAAAAAACCTTAATGAACTAAACGAACAGTCAGGCTCAAGGCACCTACACATTGTCGACAACCTACCGTCACAAACAGCTGGCTACCGTGCAAAGGCATGGCGGCATCGCGAGACAGCTTCCTTGCGGCTTTCACTGCCCCGTGTCATAAACAGCCATTACCCTGCAGATAACTCAGCACCAAACATTTTAAACAGGCTGTCCGACTAAGAGAACAATAGTCACGCCACTCGTATCGACTTTTAGCCATATGCTCCAACATCTCAAACCAAGCACAATGCGGGTCACGTGGACTCCAGCCTGGAAGGCGAAACGGACCAACGACTCCGAGGTTGTTTGTCAGTGACTTCATTCCCCGTTCCCGACTTAATTTTTGCCCACCTCCGGCCACCCAACAAGGCTCTCCTTAGTAAGCGGTGACCGGGCATACGTAGTACGTGCCCAAGTAAACACAAGTTATTCAGTGCCATCTGTTGTTCTAAGGAACTAGCTTCCTTATCACTGCTCATGGCTTGCCTCCGCACATCATCGTTGCGGGAACGTTGGTGCTATCCGACATCAGCCATGCTTCTCAGACGTCGACCATCAAAGACTTGCAGGCGCCTCAGATCTTCAGACCGAAGGGGCCAAGTCTCATTCACATAGAGTAGGACGGCCCTCACTGTGGCCCTGTAAGCACGGCTTTTTCGATGGAAGGAAGCTCTTTTCTAACGCCACAGATGCCGCATATTCAACAACGCAGTTCTAACTTGTAATACGAGAACTGACTTCAATGCTTATGCGTCCATCATTGCTAATGCAGCTGCCAAGGTAAGTGAATAGATCAAACGTCTCGAGATCCTTGACACCCAGAGCTAAGGGGTCATCAAATAACCGATGGCCCTGTAACAACACTTTACGCTTTGAAAGTGCGAAGCGTATACCGAATAATGGGACCATTTTTGAGAACTTATTCAGGGTTGATTGAGCCGCCCAACATGGTTACATAGCATAATGATATGGTCCACATAACTAAGTACAAATAGCGTCTCACTAGGCGGGACCTCAATGCCTATATAGTGCGGCCGCGCAAGCGATCTCTCCATGATGCAGTCCACGACGAGGTTGAACGTAAATGCGGAAATCTTACCGAGGGAATGCGGGTCAGCAGCAAGAAAACGATTAAGGACTACGATGGAGTATCGGACTTCAGCCTCCGACGCAGTCTATGAACCAACCGACCATGTCTCAACCTGGAGCTTTGTAGTATGAAGAAGTCCAGAAGTGGAGGGACAACTGAACTGCTCTCGAAAGTGATCCGCCGAAACAGTTACACGGCACTGCTTATTGTGGATCAGGGCGTCTGCGCTGTCTGTAAAGCGTCAAACTTCACAAGCGACAAGCTCACCAAATACATGGATCGTGTGGGCACGACGATATTGGTACCAAGTTAACGTCCAGCTCATTGCGGCTGCAAGAAGTCGCATTGGAATTATCTCGTTGGATCTGGCCAGTTAAATGTAATTTCCCGTGGAAATACACTCGGATGATGGAAGAGGAAACCATGCATATGCAGGAAATGGGGCGAGGCGGAAGCGTGCAATTGCAACACATACGGCGCAATACCATAGACTGATAGCAAATCGGGGAACAATAAGCTAAACTACCACGTTTGTAGACTGCAGTGACTTGTTCCTATGCCCCATACGACATTCTCCTCTCACAGTGGCCAACACGCCTACTAAGGAATATCGACCGGAGAGGCAATGCGTTTGAATCATTTAAATCGGCTAATGTAAGGCAGGAAAGAGAACGTCAGAAGCTAACTCACCCTAGACAGACATGTCAATTCTGAAAATTACCGGAAGGCAAATTTTGGACAGTCGTGGATATCCTACTGTAGAGGCTGATGTAATTACCAGAAAGGGTAAGTCGACTCTGTGATGCACAGCCTGTTTATATTTGCCATAAATACCATGTCCTTGCTAATAGTTCAGTTAAGCACTCTATTCTTAATAGCAATTAAGCAGAGGCACCTTGCCGGTTTTGCAGTTTTTTGTATCCACCTTTAGAAAGTATTCATAGGTGTTGAGCTGGGAAGTTAAATTCTCTCAACTACGTTTGTAGTGGCGACAATGTTATGCCCGACCTCCACGTCGGTAACCTACTACGCAGCGGTCTATGAATTCCCTCTGTATACCAGAGTAGGTGATATGAAAATTTAACCATCTGTCATCTTGTTGCGCACTTAGGTTGTCAATGCAGAAAGTCGAAATGGATGTCGAATTTGTTTGTTTGACCCACTAGCACTGCACATGCACACACAAGGCCACGGCTTGATTCCCCACTCCGCTGCATCGCGCTGTATCTAGTCGGACTTCCTTATCTGGCACTTGTCGTACAGATGTTGCTTTTCTGCCTAATGCACGGACTATTGTACATCCATCAATAAACCTTCTACTCAACTGTCCGTCAGGGTAATCGACGCTAGTCAGACCAGTACGGCGAATCTAATAACTTGAGATGACCACTCTCACTAACTTGGTGACACTGAGGTGACTCCAACACGCATAGAAGAACTTGGGCTAGATGCAAGAATTGTGCGCCAAACATTTTTGGATATCAGCTAGTTAAAATTAAAGTATCCCATCGCATCATCCGATGAGTACAGATGATGCAGCGGGAACCAGTTTTCCAAAAGCATCAAGACCAGTTGCATTTTGGTTACTGCTGTTTACACCCCAAATTTGATCGAGAATCTACATACAATGAGGAAGCAAGATGGTTGGAAACATTTTCGGACTGTACCAACTTGGTTGGGATACAATGGGATTATAGTAAAACGTAAGGTGTGTGCTAACTGGACCTCAAACTTGAGGCGAGGAACCAAGAACTAGATGAAACCAGTTGTACTCGCCAGGCGTGTCTCACCGAAAACTAGCATAAGTGGATAAACATAACGGGTGGGATTACGCCACCGTCTAGGTGACCTGGGCCAGCGGCACGAAAACATGAGATTTATTTATTTATTTGGCCATCTTTACTATAGAATGGAGGGTTTTCGCGTCGGTCAGTGTATAATATAAAGGCACCTGATTTTATCAATCATCTTGTCCTCCAAGAAAAGTTTGAACTATGGGGGCACCTTAAGTTATCAAACATGTAGACTTTACATAGGCTGCAGACGTCACCACGAAAGTTCGGTCTTTTTTCATATTGCCTCCATCCACAAATACACATTGGAAAGGTTCGTCTCTTCATCTTCAGCAAGACTAAACCCCCCATGAAGGTCGATAGGGACCCATTGTTGCCATATCTATGAGAACAACTTGATAGCAGTTGTTAACACTTTTTTGTTTCTGGAGTCGCTTCGTGAGCGGCAGCTATACATCCACCTCGACCCCAACGATGAAAAGTGACAATGGGGAAAACGACAAGCCAAGTTTGATTCCCAAATGCTCTAAACAGATATCCATGGGTAGGATGCCTACAATTCGCTATCAAGCAGGTGGCTATAGATTGAGAACAATGAACAATGAACAATGATTTATAACGGGTAAAAAAGCATATGCTTGGCAGGTCCCGTAGGGTGGTTGGAGCAATAAATAAAATGGAAGGATAATCGAACAAGTAAATCGTTTTTTAAGCCTCTACAGATTTCAACGCACCACTTCGTAATGATAGTTTGAAGTATGGACTGGATGTCTGCACCCAAAGTAGAGCAGTGATATTACAGCAAATGTGGGAAAAAGAAATCAAAGGAACGGATAACGCTCACTCGTGTGTTGCTTCCGTTGAGAGATGTGGTACGTTACTCCAGTTTGTATACATCCATGTCGCTCATTGGGACGCTTCTGTATGTAACATCACCGCCACTTTGCGGGGAGGGTCAGTAACCTCATGGTTTGGGTCTCGTTATTTCGTCCTCCGAATAGGACGTGCTATGCCAAATAATGCAAGTTGGAAAGTGTGTCATCTAGGCGTTTTTTAAATAGTGCCAATGTGGGGGCAAGGACGACGTGAGTGGGGAGCGCATTCCAAGCACGGGACACACGGAGTGAGAAAGAGTTTCGTCGACAATCAAGTCGGCTGTAGTGTGTAGCCAGTTTGAGCTGATGACCTCTCAGGTTGGTATTTTGGCTCAGCTGCAAGAAACTGCGACATGGGTGATTTGGATTCATCAGTATTAAGTAGACCATGATGAGGTCTCCTCGGTGACGACGATATTCACCACTGTACAACCCCGGAGACTGCAGTCTGCGTTGGTAGGGGATGTGAAACAGGCCTCTGACGAGCTTCGTTGCTCTACGCTGTGGAGCTTCAAGTGCACTGATGTCGCGCTTGCGCCAGGGACGCCAGACCTGGATCGCATACTCCACGTGGGGTCTCACGTAAGCGCTCAGCAATTGCGGAAATACAGATGGCTCGAAATTTCCGAAAGCCCTCCGTAAGAGTCCGAGATGTTGACTGGCCCTTTTCGATGCCTTTTCAGCTTGTCTGGAGCAGCCAAGGTCGTCCTGCGCGATCACTCCGAGGTCGCATTCCTGGGAAGCATGTTGCAACGGCTGGTCCCCGATTAAGTATTCATGGATGAGCTGGTGGCGTAAGCTCACGACTTTGCACTTGGCGACATTGAAGTGGAGCATGTTTTCGGATGACCAAGTGTACGCCCTGTCCAGATCGCTCTGCAGTGTTGTGTGATCGTCCTCTGTCCGGATGTCATGCCAAATTTTGACATCATCTGCAAACAGCAAGAAGATGACGCCGACGAGATAGGTTACCTGTGAGTTTCACGGTTCCACACTCCAATCTACCCTAAGGATGCCACAGCATCAAACTCCCTTCAGACAAAAAGTTCAACTAGCAGGCGTCAGTAAGTTCATCACTAACCAGTCGCAAACCAATCCTGGGAGATTCTACTTGAAGCTTGTGGGGAGTTACGTGTGCTCCAACCTGGGAATCGAGACCGACAGACGACACTAAAGCTAACAATCGGCTAGTTTACTTCCCGCTGCCACCTCAACGTTTTCTAGTCTTGAGCTTCAAGTAGCGTATGTACAAATCAATTGGACCTAACAAAACTTTCTCGTTTAAAGGGAAACCTACCTGGCCATTGCCGCTCAGCAGTAGCATTTGCATCACAACACGATGGACGCGGTGGTTTCGGTCAGCATCAGTAATGAGCAGCGACGGCCAAAAACATAGAACAGCGTAAAATGCTCAGCTCGAGAGACTGTCTTACTCCCGTGGAGGAGAATGGTGACCACAGTGGTCTCGTATACATGGCCCTTCATGAAAATGGAAACCCATTTCTGACTCCAAAACTATCGCGGAGTTCCGAAAGCGGTAATAGCTGTCGCAGTAACACATTCACCGATGCTAATTCAGCTAGGATGATAGTAGAGCCGAATTGTTATCTCTAGCGCTTCATTGTTAAGAACAAAGTGTTATCATTTGACTGGGGGTTACACATTATGCACTCCAAAGGTCTGAAACGCAGGCCAAAAGAGGGGACCATTCTGACTAGTTCACTGGTGGCTAACCTTCTCAACTCGAGGTTGTTAAACGAGCAGACAACCTAGTCCTTACAATTCTAAACAACTGGGACGGGATCTCCACAGTTCCTCCTTGTGACTTTACAGGTAAATATGGCATCAGCCGTACACCAGCACGCCGTACTGACATTTCGTTGCCACGCCATCGCCACCGGTTGCTCATGAGTTGGGAATACCGTGACACCACCCGCACGCATGCGGATTCGAACCGGTAACCACCGGACTTCATATAGGCGCCTAAGCTTCAAGCCGAATAGGAAGGACGCTACAACCCAGTTAACCTCTGGAAAGGGTGTTGGAAGCGAGATTTTCAGGCTCACAGTAACCGGGGTACTCGCACGTCTCACCTGAACAGTTTTCTAAGCAAGTATATCGAAAACATCGGGGCCACCGATTGGGTTGAAGATGCTTTTGAATAATAAACAATGGTATATCAGGAGCAAAAAGAACGTGCCAGTTAAATGTCGTAGGATGACTGGAATGAATCATGAAAAAATATAAGGATACACGAATCGTCAGTTTAAGCGTCTAACGATTTAACTACACTATTACACAACCATATTATAAAATAGGAATTTAATGTGTTCACATAACATAATATGGGTAGCAGTTATAATTCACGTAATCCATGTAAAAAAAATAAAATGGGAATGACTATGTTCACACGTGTGCCGCTTCCATGGATTGCTATGATATGTAAAACCAGTTTAGATGCATCACAACGATATTCCACAGTAGTAGCGTTTACGGAATGAGGTGCAGGAAGTGCAAATTAGCACAGATATCGGTGGTGTTACCTTGACGCACAGACATAAAGGGCTACATATACACACATGATTCACTTTAGCTAGAGGGAGGGAAACACCTCAGCTACTGTGCCGCAATACATAAAAGAACAATTGGGAAAATCGCAACAGGTGCAAGCCAGCTGAGCTACCGGTAACGGATGGGCTTCGTTGCGATAAGCTACCTGCCGGCTACTATGTAGCAAAACATTTACTATGCAAATTATATAAGACTAAATAGCGAGATCGTGGTTGGGGTGGGGGGAAGACTAAGATGCATGGAGTAGGACAAAGAAACTCACAGCGCGAACGCCACTGAGGTCGGCTCCTAGACATGTCAACAGGTGTATCCAGCCAAACGAGTTCAACATCTTGCGTACCCCAACCAGGGAGCCGAGATGCTCTAACTGAGGCCAGCTTCCAAGTGAGGGCCTTCATTCCTCTGGACCAAGTCATCGCTTGTCCACCCATTTGAGCAAACAACGCACGTCGCGGGAGTCGGTGGGCTGGAGTGCGTAACACGTGGCCGAGCCATCGGAGCCTGGTGCGTGAAATAACGGTGCTGAGCGGTTCATTTCCTTTTCCTG